AAGAAAAACTTTTCTGATAAATATCTTGATATTGATTGGTAAGCACATGGGACATGTCAAACATGGGAATATTCACAAAGGTTTCATTTTGTCAAAATAAGCCCCATATTAAGAGGTCGAAGAATGAACTCCAGCTATTTGTTTTTGCTGTTGGAAATATGACCCTCACGCTTTATTACCATATCAATTATATTTTTTCTGATCATTAATACTGTCAACTTCTTCTTAGGAGGGTTCCTCACTGAGAAGTATTTCAGTGACAGCCATGATAAGAGCTGTTTGAATTCTCTAAATGACAATGAAAGGAGCTTAAATGCCTGGGAAAGAAAAAAAGTGCCAATTCACATTATATTTAAACCAGGGCAGACCCAACAAACAGAAAAAAGTTGTTTTATTCTCCTGTGAGAAGGGGGAAATATTTCAAGAAAGAGGTTGTAATATTACCATAGTAAAGTCATAATATTACTATAAAATATTCATAAAAGGTCATAATTCTAGGTTAAATGTTCAAGAGGAATATCGGCCTTTCACTTGGCTTATAATGAGGAATGTGAAGCATCTTATTAAGTTATACATTCACAGATTTCCCACACAGACTTGGTGGAAGTTGCTGTGAGGATCTCGGCCTTGCCTCCCTCTCTCGCTTCCCCTCTTCTTGTGTGTCAAGGGTGAAAGAGTGTGTGTGAGTGGTAGGTATCAATAGGGGCATGGCTGACCCTGCACACCTGTTAAGCATCAAGCATTCTCTAGCAGTATATATACTCAGCGATGGTCAAAGATACCAAATACCCTTATTGTAAGTGTATCAAAATATACTACAGAATACAGCAGCCATGCCATGTATCAAAATAAACCACTGTAATTTTCCATTTTAAAAATGCAAAAAAATAATAAACTGACGTCAATGACAAACAAGTCACTCAGAAGCAGACAACTGATAGCACCTTAATCCATAGCAACTAAGTGATTAATTAATCACTAATTCAATTGCCCACACAATTGCACAGAGTTATTTCAGAACAGTTATCGGTAAACACAAAACAGCCCCCACTAAGTTACACACTTAGACTTAGAAAAGTTGTGAGCAACAACAAACGCCAGTGGTGGATGGGATAACAACCTTTTGTTTCATGGCTTTGCGCACAATGTTGTTAATGACAGTAAGGCACAAAACATGTGTGCATTTGCTAAGCTTAACCAATCACATGGTATTATAAAGTAGTGACACCAAGCCTGGGCCAATTACTGAGTAGACACCAATCAGAGGCTGTATGCATCAATTTTCATTTTTAAGACACCATCATGTCACGTCTCACAAAAACTATTTCACAGTATTTTTAAAGTACAAAAATACAAAACACTCAAGTATTTTGATACAATTTTTAACAAACCTATCAAATACACATTTTTAAAATACTATTTTGTATCTAAAATACACATTTTTAACATATGCATTATAAATAATACCCATCCCTGTTGTGCGCTGCCATCCTTTCTCTGTCAGTTCCTCAGCACTGCAGTGCTTTTTGTCAGGGCTCCCAATCAAACAATCTCCCTGAGGAAATCTGTCAGGGAAACTCCTTTTCCTCTTTTAAATCTCATGCTGATATTCCTCCTCTAACATGACACATAGCCTAAAATTATGTTGTTTTTTTTGTGTGGAAATATTATGACTTAAATTACACCTCTAATACTTCACCATACAGAAAACAACATTTCTGGAAATCCTTACTTGGCTGTCTGAGCTCCTAATTTTGTCTGTGTCACATCTGTCCAGTCATTAGTTGTGTTTAAGAACATGCATATTGAATGTTTAGTTCACAGTATTACGATCAGAACATACACATGCTGTATACAAATGTTATTTGCAATGTATGACAACATTTTTCTGCTTGTACATTCCTTTCATGTTACTATGTATTTTAATATTTACAGCCTGTATTTTTTTATTTACTGAAACATCTGCTGGTTGTTACTTCCCATGATGGCTAAATGTAGCCTCTTTTTGATAGGTGTCTATGTATTTTGTGCAGGAAACCTTACTCGCGTTGAAGGGACCTCACCTCACAACGTTTTCCATCAACGTCAATGCATAGTGGTTGGGAAAGGAGTTTCTAACTTTTCTACCGGAGCCCTTGTTTACATGCGTGAGGTGGAGCCGGATGTGACGTCAGCGTCTCTGTGTACAGCAGCTGATCGGAGCACTTCACGTCACCATTCCTATTGTTTTTACAGGGAAAAGGGGAGATCCGTTGCTCACTTTCGTTGGAAATTGCAGCGCATGTAGATGATACTCGACCTGCGCGAGGCCTGTTCGCTGCAGCTGATTTACCGCAGTCCTACATGCTATGCTAAGCTAAGTGGCTAGCCGTGACCGTCAGCAGGATAGATGAGCCTAAAGCCCAGGTGGTAGGACAGGGAACGTCTCCAGCACCATGGCTGCGTGAGCCACTCAGAGACGTCTACAGAGCCAGACTGACCACTTGTACTTTTACAACTCAGTGCAGCTCAGTTCATCTTGAGACCATCTGGAATATGTGGCTCAAACTGTTCTTCCTGCTGCTCTACTTCATTGTGCTCTTCATGCTGGCCAGGATCTTTGAGGCGGTGGTCTGGTATGAAACCGGAATGTTCGCCACTCAGCTGGTCGATCCAGTGACTCTCAGTTATGAGAGACTGAAGACCATCTTGGAGTGTCGGGGGCTGGGCTACTCCGGACTGGTGGAGAAGCAGGACGTCAGCGAGCTGGTGGAGAAGTCAGGTATTGGTCAGGGCCGCCATACACCTCCTATAATTGTACCCAGATTCACACCAGTCAACCCATGATATAACCACCACGCAAACAATATCTTCTGTTATTGGTCAAGCAAAATACCACATATTCTTTAGGTCCAGCCTTTCCAATAGCAATGATTAGCTCCTTGTTTTTGTCATACCTACATGTCAGTTATTTCCACTCTGGATGTCATGAAATGCATCATGGGAACAAACAAAGGGCTGCTAGACATATTTCCAATCTTTGCCTTCATTATGAAAAGTCAGTTTTACTTCTCTGTGTCTTCAAAGCTGCTTTCAGACATGCACTGAGCCCCCATGTGAGATCAAATATCCGAGTGGGAGTCTTAAAACTTTCTCCGGACTTTCTCAGGAGATTCTCCCAAAATAAAACCAATTTGAGAACATGGCAGGATATCCTGTGCAGGATTCACTGTGAACAAGTGGGTATGCTGATGATGTCTCTAATATGCGACAAATGCTAAATGAAAAAACAAAACAACAAAAAGAATAGAAATATCTCAGGATGGAATAGCGGGGCCATACATGTAGAAGACACTGGACAAATATGTCAATTAAGCTGTTTAAAGGCAGACGCTGGTGGTGCTTTAAACCAAAAAACTTGTCTGCAGCAGAATTGGTATGTTATGTCCTGCCTCTGCAACCCTTCACCTGAACGCACCGCAGATTTGGTGTCGTTGTGAAAGCATCTGTGCGGAAAAATCCTCTGCTGCAATGTTCATGTGTAAATGAGAAAGTCCTGAGAAAGTCAGGACGCAACTCTGTGGACATCCTCTGGAGTTCATGTCTGAAAATCACTTAAGTGTGTTTAGATTAATTAGCCAAGTTTAAAACTTACTGATTTGTGACCCCTGTGATGTGTTTGAACCACTTTAGTGAGAGGTAATAAGCTAAAACATTTGAGAAACTGTCTTATGTGATAATAAACAAAGTCCTGAGGCCTGAGCAAGTTCAAAATACCCACAATGTATTTTTATCACCTGGTGTAACAACCACAATCTCGCAAAGTGCTCATATAACAATAATCAATTAAATAAGAAAAACCAGCTTCTCTAGAGCACATTCACATGAGAGGTGGTGTTTACAACATATCCCAAATAACAAACACTATCACAAGTCCTCTGGCACCAGAGTGACCTATACAAACCAAGAGCAAACTAGAGTATTGTACAACATAGAAGTTAAACATATTTTCCAGGATAAAAGAAACAGCTGCTGCTGCCAAGTAGTAAGTATCTTTACAGACTTTACTGCCCATCATCAAAGCACGAGTAGATAATGCGGATGTTCCCCACCCCTGCTCTAATTGAGTCTTTAAAATCCAAACACTCATATTGTACAATTACAAAATTATTGGGACAATTATTAGCTGACCCAGAGCTTTAGTCCTTCACACCCTTGGGATAAGAACATTAAATAATTACATCAAATAGGAACATTAAAATTGATTAAACAAAAGATATGCTTAAACATAAAGTTAAACTGGGAATTAAATATTTGAATTGAATACAAATTATTATATATAAGAAATCACAAAAAGGTAACAGTCCCATAAATCTGTTGTGTCTTCATTATCATAGGGAATTAAAGTAACAGAAACACACTTATTAGACTAAAAGTTCAATGATTTCTAGAAATCACAAAAAGGGATTGCGGACAGACTGGACAACCTCTCTATTTAAAACTATAAAATTTTCTTAAATCATCATCAGAAGCATATCTAGAATCAGTGTAAAAGGTTGCAACTTTGTCTTTTGTTTTTGTAAGGGCCTACTACTTTTTATTCAGTTATCACAGCGTAGTAATATTTTTTATTTATTTTTTATTTTATCAGACGGTCTGCTTACTGACCCGTCCATGTACAGAATGAAATCAGTATTTGTTATTGGTGTCTGCAACAAATCTGGTCTCTGGTTAAATAACCACAACACAGTCATGTTCATCATTTTCATTTGTCATAGGAAGAAGAGTGTCTGGGTTTAGAATTGGTGAGAGCTTTAATTTTAGGTGGGGGCTTGTGAATGATCATTTAATAGCCACATTGACAAGCTGCTGTCGAGCTGAGTAGCAGAAATGTTCAACATATGCAAAACTGAATGGGGAACATGAACCACATAATCATGATCCAAAACAATGGGTGAAATTTGTTTTGCTTTCTTTAAATCTTGAGAGCAACAGCGGCCACAGCTCTGAAAAAGCCAAGAACAACAGGAGACAAGCATGATGAGTAGTATGCAACAGGGCGGTAATGAGACTTGTGTTTCTGCACCAGGATGTTTCTGCGGTATAACTAATTTCCACAAACTTACAGGCAAAATGGAGGGAGCCCTTTTTAGGTCATTAAAAACCATATCCATCTCCTCTGTTCATTGTGGCGTGGTCGGCATGCCTGCAGTGTGGCAGTACACACGATGGAATCCATGGCAGCTTACACATAGATTCAGTGTCTAGAATAGTTTACCATTCCCACGAAAGAGAGTATTTCCTTTTTTTGTCTTAGGTGGAGGCACATTGTTCAAGACTTATACTCTCTAAGGCAGCAAAAGCTCTGTCGATCTCTCAGCATGTTTCCCAAACATGTAACCTCTGATGAG